TGCAGCAGTACTTCAAAGTGAGTAACGTTACTGATTAAATCGTATCAGCAGGAGGATGTAGTTTCTGATTGGTTGACATCTGTGTTGTTTGTTTTCTCCAGGCATCTTCGTTTGAATGCTCCTGCAGCGAGTGTGCCGGCACCACGGCTTCAGAGGCGCTGGAATTGCTCACCCTTCCAAGGTACATCAGCCTGTTAATCAGTTAGAGCCCAGCAGAATAACTCAACCTGAGCGAGTCAATAGCCAGGTTTCCATCCTAAATTGCAAAATTGGAATATTATCGCATAAAACATTTGCGAATAAGCACCGTTTCCATCCATCCAACGAGTCAGAGAGAACAAAATTGTCACTGCCTACTAAACTGGCACTAAATATCACTAAGGAAAGTAAAATATAATAAATTACTTGCGCTTCGAGTGAGCAGACAAAACACAATAAATGCGGTCTTGCTTTTGGAGATGAATGTCAGCTGTTTGGGAACGCAGTCGTGGTAGACTGTTCTGGGAGGCAATAATATAGAAATACTTTAACGACAGATAGATAGAATAACAGAACAAATGATAGATAGATAGATAGATAGATAGATAGATAGATAGATAGATAGATAGATAGATAGATAGAATAACAGAACAAATGATAGATAGATAGATGGATAGATGGATAGATAGATAGAAAGATAGCTTTCTTTATGAACAAAATAAAAAGGTCTTCAACAAAGCAAATTATTCAATTAGGTTTATTTTTATTAATTTTTTTGACCCCAGCACCAATTACACTCATTATTTTGAAACATACACCAGTAGCTTACAGCAGGAAAATTCATTTGCAGCAAAAACTAATAACAAAGACAACATATAAATGTTCTAATGTACGTATACTGATCATTTCAGATGTCAAAGTAAATATCATAAAAATAAAGATAATAAGCAGTGCTATGAGAAGGATTCAGGCCACAGATGTTGCTAAAGTCAGAAACTGAAAATCTTTCGTAGGCTTTCGGTAAAACTCGCTGATGCTGGTACGATGATGGGGGTCTAATGAACTGGTGTTTTATGCTTCATTAGAAATTCCATATTCATTTCAAAAGTAATTGTGCAAGGGTATTGTGTATGCGCAAACCCCCACTTCAGTCCAGATCAGAACAATCAAAATGTGCAGAAAAGACCTTGTATGGTCGAAACCCAGTGGTCATATGATCAAAACATCCAACTTACGTTGTGTCTCATGAGCTAAATAACATTTTCTACTCATGACCTCGTGTGATATTCTGTACATTCATTGATAAAAGCATTGAATGTTATTGAATTAGGCTGAAATGTGCCAACTTTGCTTACAGAGATGTGGTACAACAACTTCCCAAAAAATGTTTGGGTATTTTCCCCCAATTAAAAATGACCTGCCTATAAAAAAATTCCTTATAAATTTCTTCTTGTTATGCCATATTATTACCAGATATTGTATTCAGTCTTTTTTTATCAACTTGTTTTCATTTAATTAGAACACATTTAAACTTATGCACTTCAGTTTTTGAGCCAATATTGGCAAAATGACCCACAAATAATGTGTTTTTTTTCATTCACAAACTGATGTGAATAAGCTCAGATGACCAGTCACTTTCAAAAAGAAATAAAAAAGCTTAGTTAATTGAAAGAAAACAAGTTCACAAAAAGACTGAATCCAAGATTTGGAGATAATCAGTGCTGGGTAGTAACTGATTACATGTAATCTGGATTACAAAAATGAAGTACTTGTAATTAGATTATATTACATTTTAAAATGCCCATAGTCAGATTACAGTTACGTTTTTATGGATTACATGATTGCGTAAAGCCTTGGCGTAATGTCTAATGTCTATGTCATTTGTAATCAGTTATGGGCTACAGTAATCTACCCAGCGCTGGTGATAGTATAGCATAATGAGCGCTTTACAAGCAGTTTTTAAAAGGCAAAAGACATTTTTGGACTGGAAACACCAAGTTAGGTAAAGCACAAGGGTTAAGAAAAACACCATATTTGATATGAAGACAAAATATTCGGCCTGAAACATATTCTATGCAAGTCTGTGATGTCAAATGCTACACAAACTCAATTTTATTGAGTATGTTTCTGGCTTTATGCTTATGCTAGTTAGCGCTACATGACCCCCATCACATCAGTTTCATGTTTTACAGAAATTGTAACTTACATTTGCTGCTATTTTGTGCTTTCTTTAAAATGACAAAAACACAAACATGATGGCAGCATTACTTTCTCATCCAGTTTCAGTAAGTTACTTCTGAATACAACATTCAAGCTCACACTTACTAACTCGTACTTTCCTTAGGATACTTTATAGATATAGCCTAATTGTAACTTTTTTCTATAAAACATCATAAACACAGTGGAATTAATTCAGAAAACATGTAACATACCTTTTTCCATTTCAGAATATGATTTTGTGTGTATTTCATCTGTTCAAAAACCATCAAATTGATTTTGAGAAGAGACATCTGGCCCATGTTATGGATCCAGATTCAGACAAAAATTAGCTTGATTTTCACCATAAACAATAAAAAACAGACCAACAGTGTTTGAAAAGGTGAAGACTGTGAAGTGCATGATTCATTTTCCAGGGGAAAGCATTCAAATTAGCCCCAGATACCCTGAAGATTATAAAATCAAAAGAATTGTATATATTTATACGATTCAAAAGCCAGATTTTGTCCAATCTTTCATAAGTTAGGAAATCAAATACACAGACTAAATTGCAAAATATACAGATGATTTGATCAGATATGCTATCAACTATTTAGCTAAATGATGTTTTAGCTAAATGAAAAAACAAAATCTATTTACTATAAAATATATATTTTAAACCCTTTGCAACCATATTTTGAGCTTATAATTACACATCTGAGCTTATAATTAAATCACTGATCGGTTTAATAAAAGCCATCAAATTTCCCCATATGTCAGATTAAATATGTTTAAAATAATATGTACGAACACAATTTTTTTTACCCAGGAATGTACACTACTGGTCAAACGTTTGGAATAACTGGGATATGTTTTTAAAAGAAGTCTCTTAGGCTCAAAAATACAGTAAAAACAGTAATATTGTGTAATAATATATATATTAAAATGCAATTTATTCTTGTGAATTTTCAGCATCATTTCTCCAGTCTTCTAATATGCTGATTTGATGCTTAAGAAATGATTATCGATGTTGAAAACAATTGTGCTGCTTCAATATGTTTGTGTTTTGATCAAATAAGGAGCAGGAGAGACTTCTTTCAAAAACATTAAGAATCCTAATTCTTCCAAACGTTCGACCAATAGCGTATAAGATAAAAATGCTAAATATAAAGAAGCCAAAAAAGAAAACAAAAAGGCCACTAATATTAACAAACCTCATTGATACAGAAATGTTATAAGCCATATCCATGAAAACAAACCTGAATCTGTATGGAACAGTGGCCATCATGAGGAGCAATGCCATAATCCTATGCTTTTGCATCTACATATATTTATAGACATGGGTATAATTTCAGATACACCCAGCTTGGTCTATGTACAATCAAAACCTCCACCTGAAAACTCTTCTGACTATATAACCTGAAATCACGAAAGTCCCCATACAATCAACAATATATATATATATATTTGATAATTTCCCCCATGATTATCATGAGCGCAAACTTTAGAAAGAAATGGAAATGCAGTAAGGCCATCCAAAATGAATCTGCAATGTACTGTATATATAGGCACATAGCTCTTTAATGTTTGAGATATTGATGTGTGTAACTCTTGAAAAGCTTCAATCATTATTGGTTGCTGCTCAAAATGATGGGACACCGTTCCACAGATTCTGCCATTAAGTGCGTAAACATTAACACGTGAACATTGTACATAACACATGAAATCACCTAAGGCAAATCAAACCCAGCTAATAGGAAACGTTTTGCTAACGTTCTGGCAAGGCTCTCTCAAAGTTATCAACGAACATTTTTTCAGTAGAATGTTTGTTCAGATTTATCTGGTATTTAATAATGTTCTCAAAATATTAGCAAAAAGACATTCATGGAACGTTTAGTTGGACATTCGTCTGACTTTTTTAAACGAAACTACTTTCAGCGAACATTCAAAACTAACATTTCAATAACGTTTGCAAAATGATCAAAATGAATGTTCCCTTAACATTCGCAGAACCAGGAAAAAACATATTTAACCCTCTGATGTGCCTCGTGTGACGGTAAAAATTATTGAATTATTATTTTTTATTTCGATAAATTTTAGTTGAATGTTTTTTATTTAACATTTTGTATTTTTAGGGGATTTTACGGTATTAAATTATATTTTTGCAGTAGTTATAATCCATTTATTTACCTGTTAAGCACTTTTTGTGCATAGACCTGAAAAACTGTCATAAATTTCGAATGCTTTGGAGCATAGACTTGAGTTTGGTCTCTTGTCTTAAAGAAGACGCTTCGCAGATTATTGCTGATGTGAAAAAAGTTTAAAAAGTGAAATGAAAAAAAGTTATAGATGCTTAGCTTTATTGTTATAATTAACGTATTTTAATATTTACATATTTTCCAAAACATTTTACTTTAAAACTGTGAGAAAGTCAAAGCCATAATTCTAAACAAGTTGTGTTCCAAATTTGAAGTTGATATCACAAAAAAAAAAAAAAAATCAGCTTTCTTTAAGACTGTCTTTGAGCGCAGTACCAAACGTTTCCACTAGATAAAATTCACTTCCCATTCATTTCCACTGCGGTCATTTTTTGATTATGAAAAATACAAGTGCGACTCTTCTTTTCACAGCCATTTAACCTTTTTTTCTAAACCCTTAAACCTTTTTATGTCCATATATATATATATATGTATTTTTTTTGTTCACATAACAAGTGCCAAAACCTTTACCAAGTTTCATTGCATTCTGATGAAAAAAATTTAAAGAAAAAAACCCCCCCGGCAAAACATAATTTTTGGGTAAAAAAATATACTGAAGAGCACCAGAGGGTTCAAACATTTTGATGAAAACTGGACATTTTGATGTTCAGAGAACATTCATAAATAACATTTACCTAACTAACTGGGAACGTCAGCAAAACATTCTAAGAGCATAGTTTTGTTAGCTGGGAAAACACAGATCACAAAATAAGGCTGATTGCATAGAGCGTGAGCTTTTTCTGTGTTCCACATTCGACGACTGGATTCGGGCATAAAAAGGCCAAAATGTTTCTGCAGTAAACTGTCGATTTCTGAAATAGTTTTTTAGAAAAATAAAAAGCCACAGATATTAAGGAAAGCATTCCGAAGTGTTCAATCGCAAGGAGTTCAGTCCGTTTTGGTCTGATAGGCTTTCAGTCTTATGTATCACTCATGTTGCGTGAACGTTTTCCGGTTTCTAATCGAGATATGGACTTGATTTCAGGTTTGATCGGGTGTATTGTTTGATGTATTTTGGCTGGGATTGATCTGATTCATAGTTAGGCCGTCCTGTGACAGCTGTGGCACCATGTGACGCATCGATATTGATGTCGAAGCACAAAATCAACCCTCATCAACTCCACCCCACTCTGACACGGAGACGTTAAAGCACCTACAGGATCTGGGGCTTGTGTGAGTGGGCTCTGTCCCTCAGTGTAACGCCATTGGCCGATTGCTGGGAGGCCCGAGAGCTGACTGGAGCTCGTGGGGGGAAGAGGGCGGGGTCAGCCTGGGCAGGTATCAGCTGATTGGCTCCTCCATCTCTCCGTCCTTGTCCGACTCCTCTTGTATCTCGTCAGTGTTCCCTGAGTCACTGCTCGCAGATGAGCTGATGGAAAGAAGACAATTTATTAAAATCCACACAAAAAAAACATTATTCTCAGGAAATGGTATATATATATATATATATATATATATGTATATACAGTATATGAAGAAACATATTTCATTACTGAAAACAAAATAAACGTTAACTAAAATAAAATAACATAAAAATGCTTAAACTTAAACATTTCTCAATTTAAAATGTTTTAACTTAATTAAAATATGTAATAAAATAAGTAATAAAAATAATTCAAACTAAATCTGAAATGAAAATGTATAAAAAAAAATAATGAAAACTATTAAGACATTAAACATAATATAATATTTAGTTAAAAACTTTAACTGAAATTAAAATGAAAATGGAAAATAGAAAAAAATACAAATTAATTCATAATACTAAGAAACTATATTATTTTTAACTACATATTATATTAGTGATACTAAAACACTGTGTCCTGCAATGCAGTGTGCCCAACTTGAACCAAGTGAGTGATGCATGAATGAGAAATAATATCTGCCATGATTTGTGGCGTCTCTTCTTTGATTACACTTCCAAATGTCACATTTGAGCACAAAAACGCCTGATGAAAGACCAGATCATTAATTACATGTATCTTTAAATAAAGTTGTGCAAGCCATGACAGTGATCTGTGTGCTTTTCATTCTAAAGACATTTATACACAAAATTAAAATAAACATAAAAACATTATGAGGCCATTTAACATATTTTGTGACAAAGAGCTGAAAAACAAGATATAAACTGCCATCATATTGTTCATTTTAATTTGTTATATAGGGGATTTGAAAAGATTTTCTAAACCGGAGTGTAAATTAGAAAAAAAAAAAAAGTCTTGGAATTTTTGATTAAGTTCTCTAAAATATTTTTTACTTCGATGCTGCGATTTAAATGGTGTACATTTATTGATAATAAAAAGCGCAGAGGAATATTAAGTTATTGAAAATTCAGTACGTTATTTATATTTATTTGATTGTATTCTTTTAATATATTGCCACTCCTAATTGCTGTAAATAAAAAGAAATGATCAGTCTTGTCATACAAGAGAAGAAAACCTCAGATGAAAATGGAAGTGATTTATCATTTGTAAGCTGATCACGTCTTGCCTAATTTTGCTAGGATTTTCCTTTAGTAGTTTTGAACACCACAGACATTTCAGATGAAGCTGTTTTTATAGTGAAGCTGCCTTCTCTGAATCAGCAGTGAAATCACCTGCCACCCTTGATCATTCTCCTGCACGTCTCCATCTGCACATCCAGCCCTCGTTTCATGCTGCACATCTCCATGTACTCATGCAGATGTCTGTTCATGTCACTCTTAGCCGTGGCCAACTCCATCTGTGTGTCAGAGAGAAAGATATAATTACATACAACATTTGATGTGTCAGAAAAGACAAGAGGTTCAAGTAGGAGGACAAACACAACCACAACCAATCACAGTTGGGCTCGGGTGGAAAATACAGAAGAACAGACACATTCTAACCTCGATTTGTCCGATTGTCTTCTGATATTCCTGCTCTCTGGTCTTGAAAAGAGACTCGGTCTCATCGATGAGATTTCCCAGACTGCAGTCCTAAGAAATAAGACACACAACGGCTTATTTCAGTTATATTTACTCTCAGTTTGTACACATGTATTGACAACAACACTGACAACAGAAAGTAATCCTTTTGGTTAATACTTTTATTCAGCAAGGACTAGGGATGTAAAGGTTAACCGCGAGCCGGTTGAAAATCGATTCAAATATGTGACGATTCAAATTGGTTGAGATGCTAAACAAATCGCGATTCATTTAGAGGTAGGAGTTTATATGAATGCATGTCTGAGGGCAACTTACTGTCTTTAGAAAATTTAGATGATATTTTTTATTTTCATCTTGCCTCTGTATAATGCATATTAAAGTTCATAAGTGCAGCGCTGCTTTGTTTACAGCGGAAAGCAAGGAAACGCTTTAAGCGCCACCTGCTGACAGAGAGTGAATCTGCGTCTCATTCAGCTCGTCTGCTGTTTCGGTTTCATGCAGATATTTTGTATGTATAGTTTCACAAAACTGAAGTGAGACCATTCTGTTTTTGTTTCAAATTTCGAAATTATACAATCTAATTTAGATTAAAAACTGCTCATGTTGCATGTATGCTGCATCTTTGTTTGGATCACGATTCAAATGCAGTGGTTGTCTCTCATTTTAAATGGAAAGAGCACAGACAAAGACTTAGTTTGTTTATATGAAGAGATTTATTTTATTTGTGTTGCTTATTTATTTGATTTGGGGCTTGTTTTAAAATTTCAATTTAGTTTTGTTATTTACATTTACATTATATTTAAATTTTGTTATTTAGCAGATGCTTTTATCCAAAGCAACTTACAAATGAGGACAATAGAAGCAATCAAAACCAACAAAAGAGCAACAATATACAAGTGATATATTAGTATATTATTATAGTGTTATATTTCAGTTTCACAAAGAAACATGCAGCATTTTGTCCAAGCAATAATAAAAGGACACATTTCATTTATAATTTGTCTTAAATCTCATTTTGTAAAAAAAACCAAAAAAAAAAACCTTGTGAATCGAATTGAATCGTGAGTTGAGTGAATCATTACATCCCTAGCAAGGATGCATTAAATTGATTAAAATTGACAGTAAAGACATCTTATAAAATTTTAGGGCTGCCACTAACGATTTTTATTTAGATGAATCTAAACGAATAATTTGCCACAAAAAAAATCTACAATTTTACTTCTAAATAAATAAAATCAATTAATTGGAGATGCTTATGATTATTAAAATTTTATGAAACCATTAAAATGGATCCAAATGAATCCAGAAAATAATGGAAAACAGAATTTGGTAAAAATAAAACTGTAAAACTCAATTAATTAGACAGGTTTTTTGATTAATACAATTTAATTTAACCATTAAAATGGAGTATAGAAAAATGAAAATGGAAAAAAATGAATTTGGAAATAAAACAGATTTCATAGTGCCCTATAAATATAATACATTTTTGTGGTAATAAAAATATGTAAGCGAACAATAGGCTTTAAAATGACTTAAAATACATATATAATAACAATGAGGCAATAATAATTAGTTCAAATAAAGTATCAAAAGCAAGAAATCATATGGTTTTATTGAACAAAACTGTTAAAATACATAATGTATTATAAACAATAGAGCTAATGTACATTACGCATTACAACAAAGGCCTGCACGGGGCGCCAACGGCCTGACGATTGTTTTTACACATTACTGTGCGATCTAATCCTTGTTTAATATTGACCAAGCACCATTTCATTCAAATGTCCGCTTAATCTTTAATATTTGGCCATTTCTTTAGGACAGAAATGCTACAGCCACTGTAATTAAAAGAATATGTGGACATCAAAACGTGTAAACTCAGAGTGAGGGTTTGAAACCGTGATGTATTCTCCTGTGTTTGCGTAGATTTATAAATGATTTACCTTACAAATCTGATGAAATGGCGCACGTTGCGTTCCCAGATGAACGTTATAATAAACCCAAACTCACAACAACATGCAGAGATGGAGTTTGAGATGCTCCACACATGTAAATGATAACAGTTCCTGTGGAACTACTGTGAACGGAGCCGCTGTGTGACACATGTACTTAACCTACACGCATGTAAATAATTAAAGCGCATATACTGTATTAGAACTGCATCACATATAATTATTTAATTAAATCGTAGCTATATTATCTATAAATTGTTTGTGAATTCACAATTATGCTTAATTAGGATTTTAAAATGGGTTTAATATATCATACAGCCTTGGAAAACAGACTAAAAATGTGTTTTATTAATTCTCGTCCGTGAAATGCGCCACTTCCGGTATTTTGCTGGTTAGTCGAGGCAAGCAAAATGAAGTCGAGGATTTAAAAAAATCGAATAGTCGAATAAAATCGACGAATCGCGACAGCCCTATAAAAATGTTATGCAATTTATAGTTACAAAAAAATTATCGAGGCAAGCAAAATGAAGTCGAGGATTTAAAAAAATCGAATAGTCGAATAAAATCGACGAATCGCAACAGCCCTATAAAATTTTTATGCAATTTATAGTTACAAAAAATTTCTATTTCAAGCAAATGCTGTTCCTTTGAACTCTCCATTCATCAAAAATAGTTTTCACATAAATAGGAAGCAGCACAACTGTTTTCAACATTGATGATAATCAGAAATGTTTCAAATCAGCATATTAGAATGATTTCTGAAGGATCATGCGACACTGAAGACTGGAGTAACGATGCTTAAAAATCCGCTTTGCATCTCAGGAATAAATTACATCTTAGAATATATTCAAATAAAAAACACTCATTTTAAATTTGAATAATATTTCACAATTTTACAGTTTTTCCTGTATTTTAATCAGACAAGATCTGGCGAGCAGAAGAGACTTTTTTCAAAACAAGCCCAGTCATATGAACAGTAGTGTGTATATGGAAACTCACCGCTTCTTGTGCGTCTCCGTTGCAGTCGAGGGCACCGGTGTTGTTAGTAAGGCCGGAGGGCATATTATAGTTGCTGAAATCCTCCCATAACAGCAGCGTATCATCGTTCTCTTCCCACGTCAAACTGTCACAGTCATCATCGATCTCAAATGTCTCCCGCCTAGCAACAAATGAGTTATCTGAACAATGTCTGTGTGTGAGGAAAAAGAAAGGGACGGAAAGAGAGGAGAGAGAAAGAGCAGACAGTGAAGACTGTCTCGGATCGCCTGCACAAGACGAGAGTATAGACAAGCACGAAACAGGACGCATACATACACAAACATGTTAAATGAGGCCCAAATCTGATTTTTCCCTCACTGTGAACGGCAAAATTTGCACTCACAGTTTTAATCTTAATCTGAGTCACATTCGTGGAATTTGGATGTGTAATTGTTGTTTTGCAATGTGACTTCAATGTGAAAGCCTGATATATATAAGCCTGACATATAAAATTATATTCAGAAAAATCTATTTTTTTTTAATGGAATTGTTTTTTGAAATTTTAGACAAAATATTTTTTAAATATATATAAAAAATGTTCGCTTGTTTTTTTTTGTTGTTGTTTTTTGTCCTATGTATACATAAGGTTTTTATGGCTCATATAGTATGAATATAGAAGCCCAAATTGAGCAAAAACATGCAATTTGGTGCCGATGTTTATATTTACATGGCCAAAAAGTAAAGTGAAATTCTGATAGCTTGTCATGTAAATCAATGAGATCTTTATGAATCCATATAAATATCAGTCACACCATATCTCCAATAATATATCTTAGTGAGATGATATTTAAATGCTTAGTTTTATGATCAAAACATATAATGCAATGCAATACAATGATGACTGAGAGATGAACAAATAAATGTCAAACAAATAAATGCTTTACAGGGTTAAAGAAACACTCCAACTTAACATGACTTGATTTCATTACTGTTTTAGTCATTTGTAATTAATGATTCATTTGAGACAGTAAACTAAATTTTTCGTCTAAAAACCTAGGTGGAATTAATGCTATTTTTGCAGAAATGTAATTCAGCAATTAAAGCAATACTCCAACCAAATATAAGTTGATTTCTTTATAATGTCATTTCAATTATATTAACACTGTGTTTTGAATGAAATGTGTATTCAAGTTGTGTTTACTTCTTACTTGTTTGCATGCGTGTCAGATAAGAAGTTTTGCAGTTAAGACCAGTGTATGATATGATCCATATTTCCAAAAGTGCAATGTGAAGAACCTCAAAAATATCAGATCTGAGGAGGAAATCAGAATCAGGCACTTTGGTTTGCGCTACAATAGCAGCTAAAGCTGTTAGTGAAAGTGTGAATGTGAGAATGAGAAAAACACAGAAATACCAGCTTTACATGATTATGACATCAAAGTTGAAAGATTAAAATCTCAGTCCCCACTCATTACAAATACATGGGAAAAAAGCAACCTGCACAATACCCCCGCCCCCACCAAAAAAATGCTTTAGTCTTTCTGCAATTCTTTGCATCTCCACTTGGTGCTGCCAGAGTGTAAGCATGAGATGATCACAGATCACAGGCTGAAACCTGAATCTGTTTTGGGTTTTGTGAGGACTCACAGGTGGTTGAGCATGCGTTTCATCTGGTCTGTGATGTTGAAGGGGACGTCCTCCTCCGAAGTGCTGGGATCTGCATCCATCTCTGAATTTTCCTCATCTGATACTGGCTTCTTCTCCTTCTTTTTGCACATCACAGCCATCTAAGACACACAAACGATATTTACTTAAGTGTGATTTTATGCCAGTACCTCGGCTGGTTCAGGCCTGCCATGGAAAAATAAATATGACACTAAAAACCGCCAGTAGGTGGCGACAAGTCCCTGTCTTAATGAGTGATTAACGAGTGATTCTTTGAATCATTCATTCAAACGATTCATTTGAAATGAATTTAGAAATGAAGCAAGTGGCTGTCTTTATTAATAGATTATTGAATTATTGACTCAAATGATTCATACAAAAACAGTCTAATTCAGGAACCGACTGCAGTGTACGCACAAATGTTCTGCCCCAGCTTTATTTGGTTTTCTTGGTGGAAAAAAACAACAACAAAAATAAATAAATAAAAACAGAATATTGTGTCTAAAATGTAACTCACTTAATATTAACCTCATGTTTTTTAAACTGTCGTATAAAGTTAATATCACATTTGCGATCACGTGACTTATTTCTTGCAATTATGACTTTTCTCTGAATTTTGAGAAATGATCTTGCAATCGCGAGTTATAAAGTCTGATTCTGAGGGCGAGAACAGACTATATTTATAAGAGTTTATATTTCACAATTCTGACTTTATAATGCGCAATTTCATGTTTATATCACGAAATTCTGATTTTAAAACTCGCATTAGCAAGTTCAAATCTCACAATTCTTTATTTCTCAGAATTGCGAGTTGAAATTACGCAAATCTGACCTTATAACTTGTAACTGCGAGTTTATATCCTGCAATTCTGAGAAAAGTCAGGATTGTGGGATTTTTAATTAGCAATTGCAAAAAAAAAAAAAAAAAGTCGCAATTATAGGCTTCTTCGGGCTTCTATACTTAAGTATATCATATCTAATAAATATAGAAAAACAAAAACCTATACAGAGATATATTTTTCTTTCATAACATTCTAACTGCATTCTATTCTAAAAGGCAAGTGAATGCTTTTGGATTCTTAAGACATGTTTTTTGCAACGTGTGTGACATCACATATCGTTAAAACAACAATTACGATATTATCACAGACAATGAATATCACACACCCCTATTAGATCCACATATTAAAATCAGCTCATGCACTGGAACTGGACATAGAGTGTGGGTTGGGCTGCAGTGCAATGTGATAACCTCATGTGCAGGGCAGGAGAGATCTTGCCTCAGCAGTTTTACTCTAGTATTGCGTGTTTTACCCACCCTGTCTGCTGGTGCTCTGGATGGACTGATGCTGAACATCTTAGACATGTCCTCTGAGTTCCTCTGCTGAGCCACGTCACACAGTTTGGCCGTGATGTCGATTCTCCTGCAGATGTCCATGTCCACCTTCATGGCTTTCTCCTGAATCTTGGTATCGAGGTCGGACATTTGCTGAACAAAGATTCAGGCCGTGTTAGAAAATGAAAAGAAAACTGTTTCTGTACAGATAATGAATTTATGATGCTTGAGAAATAACATTAACAGTAGCAATGTCATTAGATTTGTGCTTAGTCAGGGTGGATTTTGTCTTCAAAGTTTGGTCTATGAACGTCAGTCATTTTTAAAAAAGCAATAGTCACTTTATTTTCACTCTTATGCAATTCTCCATGAATTGTCCATATTATGAACTATAGTATGCACTATACTATTATTCTATAAGCAGTGACAATTACCTAATTTAGATATCAAGTATGGTCCAATCAATAAGTAAGTTAATCCATAAAAATATTAACTTACTTTGAAAAAAGTGTAATATTTCAAAAAAAATAATAATAAACAATATTTTAATTAAAAAATGTAAATAAATGTTGTATATCTGTTCAAATGAAAAATATTATTTTTAATTTAAAATGAATGTTATTATTTTTAAATAAAACATTTAAAAACATGAATTTAAAAATACATTTTAATATTTAAAAAAATATAAACTATATTTGTAAAATAGAAAATCTTTTAAAAATAAAAACAAATTTAAATATATTTTTAAATAAGTATAGCTCACTCTGTTAAAAATAAAAAATATTGATATACAAAAACAAACGTATTTATTTATTTAAAAACACCCTACATAAACAACTAATCGTTCAGCTTGGTTCTCTATACACTACACACAAATAAAAACGAAAATTCAAAAGAAAATACTATTGTCACCAACTACATTTTTTTTTAAATTTCAGGAGTGAATTGAGTTGAAAAATGCCGTTTTTGCATGCAACTGAACAGTGTTTAAACAGCATTAAGTGACAATTGCATTTAGCTGCAGTGTGCGAGTGGCCATATACTGTAGTTATGCAGATTCAAACTGAGAAACTCCGAGACATTCTCTTAACAATAACACACTATGCCACAGGATTACTCTAAATCATTATAATCTTCATGCTGAACATCAATTATAAGCTGCCAACAAGGACATCAACATATCAGTCATAAATCAATGCCATTGCACACAGATGCTTCGACCAACAAGTTAGTCTTGTGGTAAATCCACAGGCACGCAACAAACTTGAGCAGTTAATTTTACCTAAAGGCCTCATGCAATTGCTCTGACTCATTTATTCTGTATGGAGAAGAGGAGTCAAAAACATTGACTCTGTTTGTTGTTTCTTAATTAAAAACGCAACACATTTAGGGCAACATATGGAAGGTTATTTCAATTCCACAGAATAAAAAAAAGTAATTGGGACTTTCTCACAATTCTGCCTTTTCTTCCTCGTAACTTTGAGTTTATATCTCACAATTCAGACTCGTTTTCTCACATTTGAGGAAAAAGTCAGAATTTTGACTTCTATATTCTGCAATTCTGGGAAGAGAACTTCTATTCCGAGTTTATAGCTCGCATTTGTGAGATTATAAACTTGCAATTCTGAGAAGAAAAGTCTTAATGTGAGACTATAAACTTGCAATTGTGATAAAAAAAAGTCATATTTTACATAATTCTGACTTTTTTCTCGCTATAGTGACTTTATATTCTATAATTCTTCTCAGAATTGCACATTTAAATCTCTTTTAAATTTCTCAAACGCAAGTTCTAAACTTGCAATAAGACTTTTTCTCAGAATTGCAAGAAAAAAAGTCTGAATTGTGAGATAAAAAGTCGTGATTACTGTTTGCAATTTTTTATTCCATGGCGAAAATAAGCTTTTATCGAAACAGATGCGCGTTAAACAAATCAGGGCAATTGTTTTTCTTTATTAAACTCAATGCTTTTACAGATCACGTCTTGCATTCTCTCTTACTTTCAGGTCCAGGATTTTCCTCCGGTTCTCTACAGCTTTAGAGCGGCGGCGGCCGCCAGCCTTTACAATAAATAGTGATTTCAGTTCACAGCTTTTATTGCTTCAAAACTATTTATGATTTTTACGGCACACAGTGACACTCAGCACACAGTGGCAATTCGAAAGCAAAAATGAGTAACTCTAAACATTAACCCGTAAATCCAGGTGACATCTGCATAAACGGTTTATTCATTCCTCACCATCCAGACCAGCCAGTACAAATCGAAGGTGTGTATGCGTGAGATAATGATATCATGACAATGAGACTCAAAACAGAGCTCTCAAAATTTCAAATCAAAATTTGCTGTTAATTTACTCACCCTGGTTCTTTCGGGCAGTTTGTTTCTGGTTCAGATAACCGATTCACCAGTTTGTTTACGTACTAATGCATATAAAGCATAAAAAGTGAATAAACTAGTCTTAATCAACTCCCCTTTTTATATAAACCATTTAATTTCAACCCTTCATTCAAGTGCTCTGTTCACACATGCATATTTCAGCGGCTCATCGTTCTGCGGTTCCAGTCGAACTGTTTCTTCAGTTCAGTGCCTGTTAGAGGAACTGAAGCGCTGAAAGACTCAGCAAAACCTGCATCTTATGATCATATATGTCGGTATTTCGGCTCATTTGAGTCGGTGTGACTGTCAAGCATCTGAAAGTGAGTTTTGATTGAGTAGGCCTAACTTGTAGATCTGTGCAGCTCAAGCCACGAACCGTTTCATTCAGTCCGATTTAGTGAACTGATTCAACTAGTTCACCAAAAAGAACCGGTTCAAAAGAATGATTCATTCGGACATCACTCCGGACCGTTTGCCTGAGGCTCTATTACAGGTAATAATGTTGTAAATAATGTTCAGTTTCTTGCACAGACTGATCGTTTCACTTCATAAGACCTCAGTATATTGTCAGTAGTGAGGGGTGTTAATTTTGTGTTCCTTGATATGCTTTTTTATTCTTAAAAACTGAATGAATGGATCAGCAAGGATTACGGTTTCAGCTAAAAACCTTCTTTACTGTTCTACTGAAGAAGAAAAAAAACACCTACATATTTGGTGGCCTGAAGTTAAGTAAAATAACAGCACTTTTTTATTTTTGGGTGAAATGTCTCTTTAAGCTATTTAAGACCTGATTAAAAATGCCTTTATTTATTTCATTTATTTATGATTTAACGCCATGTCAGGAGCAATGGCTATATTAATGGCAAAACAATTCAACTGTGACCTGATTAAAAACTCACATTCTTATCAAATCTGGTAAAAACGTCATCCATCATCCAATAAATACTGTGTTTCTTGGACTGAAAACATGTTGTGATCTCATAATGTGATAAAACTAAACAATACTGATCTTCATAATGAATCAAAAAAACAGATTTTGACTTTTGTCTTCTCTGAAGAAAATGTCTCAAGTCTCCGTGATATTTTGGTCTCCAGATATGGAAATACTCACATCGCTCATGAGGCTCTTGAAGACCACCAGTTCAGCTTTCAGTCTTTCGACCTTCTCGTTCAACTCGTCCTGAATGGCTTCGGATTCGTTTACATTCTGAACACACCCAAACACAAATATAGGCAAACGTGAGTACACAAAGCAACATAAGAATACATGAAATAGTCTGAATGTGATGACACTTTTAGCAGCAAAAGCAGTCAAAAGAAGACTTTTCTGCTCACCAAGACTGCCTTTATTTAGTCAAAAATACAGTAAAAACACTAATATTGTAAAATAATATTTCATTTTAAAATAACTCTTTTCTATTTTAATATATTGTAACATTTAATTTATTCCTGTGATGCAAAGCTGAATTTTCAGCATCATTACTCCAGTCTTCAGTGTCACATGATCCTTCAGAAATCATTCTAATATGTGATTTGCTGCTCAAGAAACATTTCTGATTATTATCAATGTTGTTGTGCTGCTTCATATTATAGTGGGAACTGATCATTTTCATTTCAGAATTCTCTGATTAATAGAAATGTCTTAATAAAGTTTACAGACAGATCTTGATGTTAAACATGATGCCAGTGCAGCACAACAACCCAGCCTGAGCACAACACACACTCTTCCAGTCTAATGAAATCCCCACCACGCTGAAGGTTTTAGAGGAAATCTATATGACTCAAAAAGCAGGCTCTGAGCATGTTTGGGATCTCTGGGGACGCTTCTCTCCTCAGCGGTTTTGCTGACCCATAATCCAAAACAAAGATGCAGCCATTTATTGATTTTCCCGCTGCATCAGCAGAGGATGGATCTCACACCTGCAGCGCGTTTCTGAGGGAATGTGGGGAGTTTGAGACTGACATGGATGCGGCACTGGGCCATGCGGACATATTTAAACTCTCAAACTCCTAAATGCATCCCATTTACAGCCCTGTCCCAGGTTGTTTGAGGTCTCACACACACACAGCAGTTTATATTTGCTCAGATCACATGTGTGAGAAGTTGCTCATCGTGTATTTTAGGGGTCATTTCAAGGAACACCAGATGTAATTTTATCATTTAAAATAAAGAAATTCAATGCAGTTGCTATGTGGTTGCTTATTATTTAAACTTTAATGTCTCTTGACTTTTGACTGCAGACTTTGATCAATCTGAGAGGAAACTGAGACATCGTTGAGATCTCTTCTAAGACTTTAAAGGAGAAACGTAAGAACCAATACAGAAAAAATATTTGTCACATTATATATATATATATATATATATATATATATATATATATATATATATATATATATATATATATATACTCATATGTTTTCTGGCCATTATTATATTTATATTGTCCCAAATACTTTGGCCATGCATTCTCTCAAAACTATTTTCTTGCCTCCGTATGTTTTCAAATATATTTTCTATTTTAATATATTTATATTGCCCAGAAATACATTTTCACAAATAGATTTTGCATTCAATCAAAATGTATTTTAAGACTGGAAATGTATTTGTATTTTCTTGCCCCTTGAAGTAAGTTTTCTAATATTTTTCTCATTTATTTTCTGGCCATTTTGATATATGTTTTATGTAAATGTATTACAATTTTTCAAAATACATTTAAAAAAATACATTTTGCTATAACTCAAAATGCATTTTAAGATTGGAAAGTATGACGTATATATTTTCTGTCCAGTTCATTTTAAAATCTATAATTTAATTAAATTTTCCATTTATTTTTTTTATTTTTACATACAGATTTTTAGATCGGCCCTTAGACGTATGATTTCTAATATATTTTAGCATTTAACCTAAAAAGAAAATTCTGTCATCATTTACTCACCCTCAAGCTGTTCCAAAGCTGTTTGAGTTTCTGTCTTCTGCTGAACACAAAAGAAGATGTCGTGTAGAATGTGTGTAACTGAACAGTTGATGGTTGTCATTAACTTGCATGGTGTTTATTTCCATACTATGGAAGTCAACCCGAAACTGTTTGGTTACCAACATTCTTAAAAATACCTTTGTGTTCAACACATACAGGTTTAGAACAGCATGAGGGTGAGTAAATGATGCCAGAACTTTCTCTTTAGGCTGTGCTGTTTACTACAAAAATCATATATTCCACATATATTTTGACCAGAAAAATAATCTTATTTGTGTTTTGCATACAAACATGTTAAATACGACGCTTTAACTGTATAATGTCAGTATTCCCCTGCATCAAGATATCTGGATGTCATCGTTTTCAGCTACAAGGTTGTAAAGTGAGAAGCCCACGTCATATAGATGGCAAATGTAATTAGTATCACAGTGAGAGAGTCTAGACGGCTGTTGCGCAGGTGAGCTCACCTCCTGCAGCGTCTGCACCATCGACTCCATCTGTTCTCTTCTCGACAGCTCCTCCTCCCATCTGCAACACACGGGACACACCTCTGATGAGTCTGACCATCACACTATGAGCCATTTTATATCATGGTAACAGTGCAGAATTATGCCGCATTTTAACTACTTTCCTGTTATGGCAACAGTCTCAAAGCCTGCTTTGGTGGAGAATCCAATTAATTAAATACTTAAACACAAATGAAAGCTACTTCATTCATCTTAATTCTTTCTGTAGGCTGATAAGCTCAAACCACAAGATCAAATCATTCATAATAAATAAAAAGGTCTGACATCAGTGCAAAAACAGCCACCAGCAAAATCATATATTTTTAAAGGGGTCATCATATGAAAAAGTCACTTTTACATGTTGTTTGAACCGAAATGCGTCTTGGCAGTGTGTGTACACAACCACCCAATATTACTAAAAAGCCACCCAGTGTTTTTTTAAATCCCCATTTCTCAAATCAAGCCGTTCTCAGCTTCTTGTCTGTGTGACGTCACACAGACAGGCCCCTCCCACGCTTGTTGATTGACACTGGTGTTTTACCTTAGACCCGCCCTGAGTGAGCTGTGAACAGTCTGCCATTGTTTCGACTCCGGAGCAGGGGTAGATAAGAATGACTCAGAAGCGATAATGATAATGAACATAGCAGGCGTCATTTACTCCCGACATCTGAGCTGCTGAAGACAGCTGTTTGATTTTGAAGGGAATGCGCCCCCCGATCTACCTAAATGCATCTATGTTCGCGCGAATCATTCGTTATCCAGCCTCACCTACAGATGAAGTGAGTATAAGGTTTTTTTATGAATCTTTGCAAATCACCTAATAATGTGCTAGTTAGCAATTTCCGCAGCAAAATGCGGCTAAAGTTTACAGTCTCATGAGAATGGCTTGTCACCCCACGGAAGAGAGGGGCGGGGTGAGCAGAGCTCATTAATATTTAAAGGAACATGCACCAAAAACGGGTCGCTGCGGACAGAGCTGTTTTTGACAAGGTAAAAAGGGGATTGTTTTACACTATCGTTGAAAAACCAAAGTATGTCATATCAACTTGTGGAAAATGGGCATCCGATGACCTCTTTAGTTCAACATATATTTATGTAAATACATATGTGCAATTTATACAATATATTTTGTGATCATATTGTGTTGAAGGCTCATCATATCTGTTCCTTCTCAGTCTCATTGATCATTCAGCTCAGGAATCCTCTGGTAAAGCCCCGGCTGTGCTCCTCTGGCGTCTGTGGTATGTGTGCCCACCCCAAGGTGTCTGGGACGGGGCAGATCTGTAACCAAACACTGTGCTCTGACTGAGAGTGGAAAACCAACACAACCAAACCAAAGAGTGGATTTGAAATGGGAATTGAAAGTTTTGTATGGGTGGGCAATATACCGGGCAATATTAACTGGTAGAAATTTGTCATCCAGTAGAGATTTTGAACTATCGTCTCCATCGTGGTTACACGCTCATGTGACGTTGCTGTGCTACGTGGCCCCAAAAACGTATCATTTGCACACATTTTTACACGTTGCTGTTTAAAAACAAGTCATTTTAAGCCGCTGAAATGCAATCTGCAGTGAAAGCAAACTCATTTCGCTGTATGTGCGCGCACATGAAAATGGTGCTAATAGAGCACGGGAGTTTTGAACGTTATTTTTGCCACTTTATAGGCCTTGAACGGTTAAATACACACACTTGTGTCAAAATGCCAATCTTTGCAAGTATCCTCGTAAACCTAACCCTAACATTAATTTAGGTCTTAAGTGAAAGCAAACAGCTGAGAAAGAAAACATGTGTAACAGTATATTGGATACGGGCAGCTCTTAAAGTGACAGCAGTCTAACATTCCTGCTATCTGTCATTCATGTTAATCAAACAACAAATGAGAAAATCTCTCACTGCTCTTGGCTAAATCTACTGTTGTTTTTTGTCCTGTTGTTTTTAATTATTTCCTTATTCATATTTGATCACTGATAGTTAACTTGTCTTCAGTGATCTTTCGAGTTGTTTTTTTTAAGGCTAGTATTAGTTTTATTTATATTAACACTGGTGATAAGAATTATGAAATTTCTATAATATCATAAATGTCGATATCATAAAGACCTTATTTTAAGCAAATATAACTATATTGTGATATGTATTGTTACCATGAAAAAAAACACTCATATTGCGATATAAGATTTTAATCGTATCACCTACCCCTTAAGTTTTGTTATACATTCAAAAGTTTTGTTATAAATAGTATTTAATAAAATATTTCATTTAATAATATTTTTACGGAATGATTTTTTAAATCTGCAGTTCATAATTTTTGCCTCTTTGTCGCCATCTCTGTTTGAAACCTGCAATTGCAGTTATATGCGGAATTCTTTTCTTAACGTGGGTCGTGCAGGCTCCAGCGTGGATTAATCTAATGTTTTGAGTTTAATGTGTGGCTGTCAGTCACCACACCGCCGGATCGGGGATCGGTCAGACGAGACCGATCCAAATCCGATATTATGCATATACTATTTTGTGTTACTGTTAAGCCTCACGAAAGGCACAAAAACATTATAAAGCACCATAAAAGTTTTCGAGCACTATATTTTAAGTGATCTGAAGCTGTTACATAGTTCAATGTACAGATGAATATTTAAGTCAAGTTCATGTAAACTCTTCTCTATGCTCCGGCTATCTGTCATCCTCCTTTCAGCGTTCAACCTGCGTGCTGCGTTTGGTTACTACAGTCAAAACGATGAAACTCTCTTCAAGAGCGCACAATAACTGAAATTTAAAACTGTTAAAAGAAAAGACTCAATAAAATATTGCACAGATATAATACACTATGCATCAATATCTCTTCCCTTTTTTATGCGGAGCGCTGCATGCTATGACTCCATGTTGCTTCAAGCACATCATTCTGAACACAAGTGTTAAGTGCTTTGCGCTGCTCTGTATTGGAGCCATACCCTTTTGTATTATACTTTTGCACAATGAAAGATTATTAATAGTCTTTTTTGTTCTGTTCTATCTATCATATGTTGCTGCCTTCATTACTGTGCTATGCATTTAAAAGGAATGGCTTTTAATTTTATAGTATATATATATA